CAGATTGGATGCATCTGATCCAGTTCAGACATGGACAAAAAGTGCTCAGGCTCCGAGATCTGCTTGAGGGGCTGTGGATTGCGAGACGGACCTTCCTGGGTCAGCATCTCAGTTCCTTTAAAGGGTTCTATAATGGATCTCTTGTAGGGTTCTTTCATCTAGGGGATCACATTAACAGGAGCCTTGCTTCCCTCCTCTGCATCGCTGAAGCCTTGTCGCATACGGTCCAGGCATCGCAAGTGTGCTGGTTGCCCTCGGCCTCTGGCTGGCTCAGCACGAGGCGACCTCGTTTGCACAGTTGCATGTGGCGTGCCTTTTTTCGCACGTGCATCATGTCATGTTCACAGACATAAGACCGAATGTGTACCTAAGAGCATGGTTGACGGATGCGGCGGCCCTTTCAGCACATTGTTGTGCGTAGCTGTTCAGGCTCAGGAGATGTCGTAGAAGGCTTCCAAGCCAGGAGACCCCTCTTTCAGCGGGTCGGTTTAGGTTGCGCCTGAAGATGGCAGCCGGTAGCATGCGCTTCAGCCGAATGGATGAGAGCGACAGGCAAGCTGGACAAGACCTGGAGGAGTGATGGTGTCCCTGAAGGGTTTGATCCAGTTTGGCAAAGAGAAAGTCAGAGCTACCTTACTCAGGGTCGTTATGATAAGGGTCCTATTATCTGGGGCGTTGTAGTTCTCGTAGCGTCCCCTACCGGATGAACCTACCCGGAGGAGTCACCTATTCAGGAGGTGCCCTTGTCGGTTCTGCACAAGCGTGCTTCCCCATTGAATCTTAGCCATCAGAGCCTGGCACATGGCCTGGACAGCGCAAGAAGGCTGGACGCCTTGGAGTGGTTGGTCCAAGCCTTTGATGCCCTGGACCTCGCAGACGAGCAGCTCTTTTCAGCTATTGGTTTGCTGGACCGCTTCGCAGCGAATGCCACGGCACCCATTGCGGCAGGCCCAGGTGCCTTCGCTCTGGTGCTGGCCGTGATGCTAGTGGCTCTGAAGGTCTCGGGCTTCAAGAAGGACCTCCGATGAACTGAAATTCATGACAACCTCCTGTAGAAGAGGCGAATGATTCTGATTGATTCTGTTCGCAGGTTATAGTCTACTAAGTCTACTAGTTCAAAAACAGCATCGCTTCAAGAAGGATCTGGAACGAGCCAGACGCCTGGTTGTGGAGGTTTCGGGCTCCTCACGACCCTGGGCCGCGGTGCGCAAGGCGGAGTTCAGCATCCTCCGGCGCTTGGGCTTCCGCGCCTGCACGCCCACGGCCTTCGACCTGCTGGACCGGTTGCTCTCGGATCTCTTCCCGTCCCTAGCACTGCGTCTCACGGGAAACCCGTCGGCAGGGTCGGCTCCCATGCCCTCTGCTGGAACCGATCCAGCTAGCTGGGACCCGGAGTCCAAGCTGCGTTGCAGCAATCTCGCAAGGTTCCTGCTAGAGATGTGCGTGGTGTACGACCCCGAAGCCTTGTACGGCTCCGGTCGCCCTCCCTTGGTCAGCGCTGTGGCCGCTTTGCTCCTCAGCCTCTTGTCTCATTCTGCTCCCAGACACTACGCGCAGATGCTGGCCGAAGCAGTCCATCTCACCGAGCTACTTGGCATCCGAAACTTCGTATATACTGTGTCGAGGAGAGAGCCTGTGGCTTATGATGAGCTAAGGTCCAATCGCACGACTTTGATGGAGATCGCAGAGGCCATGCGCAGCCGTTGGGTCATGGTCCACCCGGCACGGTTTGGGGGGCATGCTTTCTATAGTTCCATAGCCGAGCTGATTCGCGCTTGCTTGCCTGGCACTAGATCCACCACGAGTCGAAGGGGCGGCGAAACACACATATCGCTTGCTCTGTCCCACTACCCACTAACTACTTAACGCGCTAAAGTAAATCCCCCAAACCGCCGCACACTACATTCGCAACCCTACGAATCCGACAACACCTGAACTTTTATTCGGCTCAGCCCAAAACCAGTCCACATTCAACCGCAGAACCCTATTCCCTACAGCGTGAAGCGTAAAGCAGGAAGAGCAGAAGAACGGGGCAAACGGCTCTGTGGTATTGGAGAAGTGGCGCAGGCGATCGGGTGCCTTCGAAGTGTCGGGGCCCTGGTCCACGGCTTGGGGTTGTAAGGTTTAGGACCTTGGCGTGCACGATTTAGGGTGTTGGGTTTTGGGATGAAAGGCTTCCGCTTGAAATTCGCTTATCATCCAGAGGGTTAATGGCGACGGGGCTGAGGCTGAGACAAAGTTTTAGTGGTTGTGGGTGCGCAATCGCCTACACAGAAATTCAAGCAACATTTAGTTTTCTACAACCCAAGCAAGGCAGCCAAGCTAAGCCAGTCTAAAATCAAAACTCCCAAACCCTTGCAATGAGAAGAGCTTGTCTATCACAAGATCCGGTGCAACGGAAAACCCTGCCTGACACAAGACGTTGGGCAGCAGAAACTTGCGTCTGACAACAGAAACTGTGGAAAAGAAGGCCCTGTCTACCTCTGAAGGATAAGCAACCAAATGTTGAAAGAATCAAGCCCACATCATGCATACGTACAGTCATACGTACATATGTGTATATATGCGCATAAATATATATATATATATATATATATACATACATACATACATACATACATGTGTACAGGCACACGTAAGTGTATGTATGTGCGTTTGCACGTACGTATGTATGTATGTCTGTACCAAAGAAATGCAATGTAGCGACTTTTAATGAATGTGTTGTAGGTATGGATGTACGTATGTAGTCATGTACACATGTGTTTGGTTTTACTTTGTTATTTTTGAGTTCACTTAGGATTTGACTTTATAGTGCTACCAATATTTACATATCACTGGACATATGTAAAGCAATGTCCTGGATGCTCATCGACAGCATGCATGCGCGCATATGCACACATCTACGGAGACTAGACGGACATGCACACACGCAAGTGTGTGTGTGTGTGTGTGTGCGCAGGTGTCCGTTTGTTTGCCTGGGGAGTGGTTGGTGGTCGGTGCTTTTGCCTTGGTGCAAGAATTTACACATACAAGCATGCAGCCGTGCCTACATATGAACCTACATACATACATCCAGTCAGATCTATGCATGCACGCACAACTTCTTGCACGCATGCATCCGTACATATACTTATGCCGATAGGCATGGTTGTTTGCTGAACGACATGAGTGTGTGTGTGTGTATACACATAAAACATGCGTGTATACAGTGTGAATGTAGTGTAAACTGAATGTAATGAAAAAATGGTGTACATAAGGTAAGTGTAGTCCACAATGTAATGTACATGTAGTGTAATGCTATCGTGTGTGTGTGTGTATGTACGTGTCTATGTATGCATACATACTCGTCTGACTTGTCGAGCACGAGTGACAAAAATGTATGCATGTATGCATTTATGTACGTGTGTATGTGTGTGTATGGTTGTATTCTATGTATGTCTGTAGAATGGACGTGTGGGTTTATGTGCATGGAGAATCATGCGAGTGGGTGCTTACGTGCTCTCGTGTGCATTCCAACATCTCTTGCATGAGTACATGTACATGTGGACGAATTCGGGGTCATTTGCGCTTCCGATGTTTGTAACACACGGTTTTGTGGCTGTACTTGCTGAGTCGTCTGTTTCCGCCCGTTTGTGTGTTTGTGTTGTCATGTGATGCTCGCTATGCACCTGCGTTTTCTGCATTTACAGCACATCAGGTCACCTCCATCGCCGTATGACCTGCGGGCCCTCACCTCGGGCATTACCATGGGGGCCCCGGTGAAAGCCGAACCGGCCCGGAGCTACGCTCCTGCCAAGGCGCCGCATGAGTAGACCGCATTGGATTAGCTTCGAACCTTTGTGCTACTACGGTTGATGATATAAATCCTGCATGACCCATAATAAGGAATATACCATAATTCTCATAGTTTAGGGTCCTTAAGGTAATGCGGGATTTAGATCATCAACCGTAGTAGCACTTTTCTTGCTTTTTCGTGGCTGGAACCAGCCAGGTTATTATTTCAAGCATTCGAGACATCCTTCAAGACGTTAGAGGCCAAACTGCTCTAAAACTTCTGGGTGTTGAAGATTTCCATGGTCAGCAAGCCATGCCCCAGACTGCTGGCAGCCTCTTGCCGAGCCTGCCAGATGGGTATGGATAGTACATGGCTGTCCTTTCTCGTAGGTTCTCTGCAGATGTGTACATCCGTCGATGGGCGTATGTATAAATCTACAAATCTATTGGACAGCACTAAGGAAAAAGGGGCGGTAACATACAACAAAAACGCTGTCCATGTTTGTTTACGCATACAGCCGTGTACGTGAACCTTCAACGATCCTTCACAGCTTGACCCATGCTGAGCTTCACACACGTATGCTTCGGTTGAGGCTATTGTTTTGGGTTGCCTAGACCCTCACCTCAACCTCGGGGATCTCAACACTTGCCACAAGCAACAGGCAACGGGCTCCCCGACGAGGGCTCGACGTCTCACTGGTGCTGCGGAGGCACTTTGGGATACGGGTATGACATACATACAAGAATGAAAGTACATTGCAGGTGTGCCTATAAGTGTATTGATCGCCAAACGGTTACACAGAGACACGCGCACACACACACACACACACACACACACGGACACACACACACACACTGTGTATGTATACGCATACACACACATATGTATCTATGTATATATATATATAGATGTACATGTATGTATACATACAATTGCACATATGTGCACTCGCACACACCCCTGTGTGTGTATGTGTTCGTTGTGATGTTTGTGCAAGCACATACCTATACATGTATACATATACACGGCATATCCCGTCCCCTGAGTTGCTTGTTCCCATTTGGAGGTGCTGTCCGCTTTGCCCACGCCAGCGCGGCGGGCACCCGGCGGCCAGCGGACGGAGGCTGGGTTTCGGACAAAAATTAGCCTGTTGAGCCCAAACTTCGGTTGATGATATAGATCCTGCATTACCCATAATAATAAGGAATAGACCATAATACCCATAGTTTCGGGTCCTTAAGGTAATGCAGGATGTATATCATCAACAGTTTGAGAAATGCCCACTTCTGCCACTCTCTTGCTCTCGTGGTACCCAGGCCACGGCTGCGAGCTCTTCGACAAAGAACCCATTGGGGCAAGGTCAACAGGGATTACCGGCGCCGCGGCTCACACAAAAGCCGCCGAAGGACACGCTTCACCTCGCTCTTGTGGGCCGTGTTCTGCAGGATTCCGAGCAGAGCCTCACTGCAGTCGACGAATGACGACTTCCCCCCCCTCCTGCCCTAATGCGTTCCGAAGCTACTGGCACTAGTGCCACAGCCTGACACCGTAAGTTGTGCAGCTTCCCAGCAGGAGGAGTCCCACAAGCAGCCCGCAAAGCCGCAGGACTGCTGTCGCGATGTGTGTCTCTATGTAAGTGTGTAAGTGTGTGTGTGTGTGTAAGTAAGTAAGTAAGTAAGTAAGTAAGTAAGTAAGGCTCTGTACATGCATGTGTAATCTGCACCCTAAAGACAGAATGCAATCAACCCATACACAGTTGAACTCGTGCAGATCGAAACAGCCACCGGAGAACACACTCCGTCGAACTCGCCTGCGCAGCCTCCGTCTTCCCGGGATGAACAAATGAATGAATCAATCAAGGAAGGAGGGAATGAGACGGAATGAAAGACATGCAATGGAATGAAACGCATGAGTGAATGAAAGAGAACCAGTGTCACATGGAATCAGTTAAATTCAAGGAGTGAGATGGAACAATTGAAATTGAATGAACCGAGTGACTGGCATGGGAAGAACCGAATGAAAAGACAGAAGTGGAATGAGTGAATGGGCGAATGGTTGAACGGATGAACGGATGAGTGGATAAGTGGATGGATGATTGGATGACCGGGTGAATGAAATGAAATGAAGCGAAGCGACATAGCACAGAATGAGACAGACCAGCATGATTGGCAGGCCCCAGAAGTCGCTTGAATCATCTTGTAGTAGATCTGCACGCCGCTCAGCCGAGAGAACATCAACTTCCCCCGCCCAAACTCTCAAAGAAGAAGAACCAGCAACTCTTCCCACTCCCCAAAAACAACAAACCTAAACTTCTCCAGGACCCTTGTGCGAGTGTGAGCGCCGAAACCCGAAGCCCGAAACCGCAAAAAAACCCTAAAACCATCTAAAACCCTAAAACCCTAAATCCTCAACTTCTCCAGGAGGAGGAGGCCAGGCGACAGCAGGAGAACCATCGGCCTCCGCGCCTCTCAGCGCCGCAAGAGCCTTTGGCCTTCTGGCCCATGCAGACGGGCCCTCAAGGCGCCAAACAGGGGTTTAGTTAGGGTTTAAGGGTTTAGAGTTCAGGGTTTAGGGGTTAGGGTTTAAGGTTTAGTGTTTAGCCCTAGAGCTTCGCTGCTGGCATACACTGCAAGTCCGCGCTTAGAAAGGATTTAGAGTTCAGGGTTAGGGGTTAGGGTTAGAGTTCAGCCTGTGGGGGTTAGGGTTTTCGGTTTAGGGTTCAAAGTTTAGCTACAACGAGAACGAGCATAAATTGGGTGGTAGGATATACTGCAAGGGTTCTTCCTTTCAGTTTCATGGCACAAGGTATATGTTGAGGTTGGTCATTCTTGGGGGCAATAGGGTCTGGTGCTTTGGGGCGATGGGATGTTAGGACAGTAGCCAAGAAAAGGCTACTTTCGACCCTCTGCAGGTGCAGGACCCGTGGCGGAGCCACCTGCTGAGCCTGTGGTGGAACCTGAGCCATTACTGGAGCTGACGCACGTCTTGAACATGGTGGCCCCACGTCCACAAATACCACCCCCATCCGGTGGGGCCAGCAACACGACAAAGCTTCAGACACCATCAGTTGCAGCAGATCTCTTGGTGCAGTCGGCTCTGCGCATGCAGTGGCCGGCTGACAAGAGGAAGCTCGCACCAAAAGACGCAGCAAGCACATGCCGCGAAGCGGCTGGCGTCCTGCAAGAGGCCATCAACCAGCTGTCCTCAGCTGCCAATGTCCTCGAATGCGGCGGAAGTGGTGTGCGCGAAGTTGCGAAGACTTACTGCGCTGAGACGAAGCGTCGGAAGACCTACGCAGGACCTGCAGTTCCCGGCGCCGTCTCGCCTCCCGTAGGGGGGAGTGGCAGCGGCAGCACAGTCAGTAGCTTGTCACGAGCACCCGCCGTACCAGCTGTTTATCGTGGGAGCCCTCCCATGGTGCGGACCACCGGACTGAGAGTTTGAACGAAATTCCACTTGTCCTGCCAATTCGTCTTAATTCGTTCTTAGAATCTTGCTCTCCATCCGCTTCTTCGGGAGCTTTTGGGAAGCTTGGCTTGCTCTTGCACTGCAGTCTTTGCATTTGCCAACTGCAAATGCTGCTAATTCAGAGAGCTGCGGTTGGCCCGATACAGTGGACACTCCCTGTGCACCACATCCAAGAGGTTGAGGCTGAATCCGTCCCCAACAACAACCCGAACTCGTACAGGTGGCTAAACAAAAATGCCCAACCCTTGGCACGAAGGTGGGGGCCATCCGCACTTTAGTGAGCCGTAAGGTAGAAGGACTGGCAGTCTGCAGATCGATAGCAAAAATTCCTCTGCTTGCTTCGCCCCGCCTGAACTTGGGGTTTCTGCTTTGAAGCCTTCGATGCCGCTCGCCACGACTGATCACCCAAGCCTTGCACAAGAAACTCCACCTTCCACAGGGCCATCTGACCGAGTTTGCCTGGCCGGATGCCCAGAAACCCTAGTGCCGTCGTAGGGTTTAGGGCTTAGGGGTTCAGACTGGCGGAAGAGCGGCAAACTACCAGGCGTCCTTGCGTGCAAGCCTGCAGCAAAAGGGGTTAAGACGGGGTGGGTGTGTGTGTATATATATATATGTTCATGTACATTACATAGAACTATGTAGGTCTTCGTGCCCGTCTCTTGCCTGCGTATCCAACATCGTCTGATATGTGCACATGTGAATGTCTATGTGTGTGTACATTACTTGTGTATATATAGAGCTACAAAGCAGATGGGGCGTTTTGGTGCATCCTCCAAAGGATCCTTGCCTCCGTGGTTGGCTGGGTGCTGGCAGCGCACTCAGAGCTGGCATAGTCCAGCTTTTGAAGGCTTCCGTAGCAATACTAGCAATACTACGTTTCCTTCTTGCACGACAAGTAGTACATGCAAATCCAGCTTAAGTACTAGTAGTAGTACTAGAACTAGCAGCAGAAACTTCAGCATTCAGTTACTGCGACTGCTACTGACCCTGCCTCTGCTCCTGCTCCTGCAGCTGGGATTGGCACTGCTCTGACCTTCTTCGCGGTCGTGCTGGAGTTTAGAGCCGACGGGTTGAAGGTTCTGGGACGTGTGGAGGATTGAACACTTTGAAGTTTCGGAATCTGGCGGTCCGGGGCACTGGGAGAAGTTTGCCAAGGTCTTTCTCGGATGCACCTACTTGGATCTGCCACGTGAGACCGGCGAGCCTCTTGAATGATGGATGCCGGGAGTCAAAGATTCCATCCATCTTCAGAAAGAACGGGGGCTCCGTCCTCCGTGCAGCTGTCAGGGAGGCCCCTCGGAGCAGAGCCCGGGAGGAGAGATCGCTGAAGCTCAGGGCCTTGCCCAGATGCACGCAAGAATCAGCGCGCGCGCGCGCGCGGGGGTGCAAAAGCTAGTTTTCAAGATCGCACTCGGCGCAGCAGGTACGACAAGACAGTCGGCTGTGTTTCTTCAGGTCTTGCTGAATATGCACCTGTGTGAACTGCTGCTTCGAGGTTGCAAGTGGCCAGCATCCTCCGAGTAGGAGAAGAAGCAGCTGCTACTAATCAGCAACCCATCCCACACGCACTGGAAACAGCTTGTGGGCTGAACCAGGTGGTCTGGAGCCACATGCACTTGCAGCCGACTTTGCAACTAGACGACCTGGACAAATATTTGTGACAAGATGCATCGCAGAAGGGGTCAAAGCCCAACCAAGTTACTTGTAGCAGCTGGAAAGAAAGACGCACCAGAGCAAGTAGCAGGTTCTTTGCACCTCAGGAAGCAGACAAGCAGAAGCGCAGGACGGGCCCCTGAGCCATGGAAGTCTTGGAGCCAGTGCTGCCTGCACTCCTTAGCTATGTGGATTTGAGGACGGTCCTTTGTGCAGCTGCAGCTTCGCGCTTCTCGCGGCTTCCTTCGAGGTGTAATCAGGCGCATCATGTAGGAACCTGATTAAGAAACCCTGGCTTCTCGACGGCGGAAAAGGGAAACTCGCCTGCAGAGGTGTGGATCCAATGCTGCCGCGAGCGCTGGCGTTTTGGGGCCTTGTTCCAAGTCGACTCGCACGCAAACCCCGGCGCCCGAGACGAGGCTTCCATGCAGCTTTGGCAGAGATCCGCAACTCGGACCTCGCTGTTACTCCATTTTTGGGAGATCTTCGGTCTAAGATTTGGGTCCTCCAAAAAAGGACCCGAACCCTCGCAAAGAAGGCAGAGATCAGAATCCCCGCTAAATTCATAATTGGAGTGATGTTCTTGATAACAGCGATGTTCTCTCATAGCCCCATCCAAAGTCATGATGTTGCTCTGCACCCACGAGGAGCTGTCCCAAACACAATAATGTTGATATACATTAATATATAATATCATATTATATATATGTATAAATACATAGATGATCAAACCTCAGGTAGCTGAGTATCGAGACGGCGTACATCATTCCGATGCCTTTGGCTTTTTCCTGGAGCGATCCAGAAAGGACCGGCCGATACGACCAGCGCTGTAAAAAGCGCCAAACCGCCAGAGCCAAAGGCTGGGGGCCTTAATGATTATAGGGTTCCTTTAAAGGGGTCCTTGACGGGATCTACAATATTTAGGGGCCTTATTAGTTACCTATACTGTTTTCGGGGGGTTCCTTATTTTAAGTATAGTATAATGGGCCCCACAACCCTATTCTAATTATTAAGGCCCCTACATTAGGAGCGTCGCACAAATCCAGAAGCGTACCAAGGCAAAACAGGAGCTTCGGAGAAAAGCAGCCGCCACAGGAAGGAATGAGTCGAACAACGTCGGCAAGTATGGACGAGAAGTGTAGGTTTTGAATATGAAGGTGCGCACACCCCTGCAAACAGAAAGAAGGGGGCAACGGTGGCGTTGCACTTGCTCTGCAAAACCGAAGCAGGATCACGGAGAGTTCTATTCGGGCTCTACAGCGCGGGGCTGTGTCCGGCAGACAAAAAGGAACCAGGAGGTTTAATGACCAACTTCATAGCCCGACTTCGTGAGCCAGTAGGGAGTGGAGACGACATCTGCGAAAGCCAGCGAGAGCGCAAGAGACTGCGATCGAAGTTTCTCAACAGTGCGTCAGTGCGCGAGCAAAGGGACGAAACTCCTCGACCGAAGGCAATGTAGGTAGAGTGCCGGCTGCAGGTCGAATCTCAACACTAAATGGGAGTTTCCGAAAATAGGAGACCCGAATATAGCACCCCAAATAGTAGGATCCTTATTGCAAGGACCCAAAATGAGGTACCCCTCATTTTCGGAAACTCCCAAATGGTTCTTCAGTAAGGAAGAGGAAGAGTTGAAGTGAGAATTCGTGAGAATGAGGGCATTGCTCGAAGCGATCTTTCCTCACCAGTACAAAGCTATGAGCATGGATGGTTACTATGCCTATGCGTTGTTTTCGGAGTAAGTGTTCGGAGACTCCACTCTCGCGGAGGATGCAGAGGTCAGAAGATGGCTGGAAGCAGAAGACGCCGACAAATTGGACGAGCTGCTCGTCTCATGGACGGTCAACCGGAGAGCAACCAACCTGGTGGCTGCGACTACCCATCACTGCACTAACAGAAGCAATGATTATGCTCCAGGTGATACTAGCGAAGATTTTAGACAGGGGGGCAGACACCAAGGATTCTGCGACTGGGTGCCAATGTTCTCGATGTCCTCCTCAAGCTCGAAAGATGTACAGATGCCAGGCGAGGATGTGTAGTGTAGCTATCTTTCAGGCCCTTTGATTTGAGATTTAGGGTCAGCAGTCTGACACAATATGCCAAAAGCTGTCTTGCAACGGAGGACCCGTTGCAGCAGTACCAGTAAGCGTAGCCGAAGCAGTAGCGACACAGCGCAGAGTTGGTGATGGAATGGCAGCAGTAGCAGAAGTAGTAGTAGCAGTAGTACTAGAAGTAGAAACAGAAGATAAAAGAAGCAGAAGTAGAAGCAAACAGTGGGCAGTAGTAGGTAGTAGGGGCTGTGGTGGTGGTAGTAGTAGTAGTAATAATAATAGTAGTAGTAGTAGTAGTAGTAGTAGTAGTAGTAGTAGTAGTGGTAGTAGTAGTAGTAGTAGTCGCAGTAAATAGTAGTAGTCGTCGTCGTAGTGGTAGTAGTAGACCAACAGCGACGACAGCAGCAGAAGCAGCAGCAACAACAGCAGGAGCAGCAGCTAGTGCGACGACGACTACTCCTGCTACTGCTACTGCTACTGCTACTGCTACTGCTACTGCTACTGCTACTGCTGCTGCTACTGCTGCTGCTGCTGCTGCTACTACTACTACTACTACTACTACTACTACTACTACTGTCATTGTACCATCATCCTACCACTATTACATGATATCGACATGTCAGATGCGACATTTCAGACGTGGTTAAACTTGGTACTAGTACTCGCCTGGGCCATCACGCAAATAGTTGTGTTGTCCTGGACAGCTCGCGGGCATCCACAACACTCACAACCCGAAATCAGCTGGCCATGTTTGACGTGCTTTTCATATGGGAGTTTCCGAAAATAGGGGATCCTAATTTAGTACCCTAGTCAGTAGGATCCTTATTATAAGGACCCCAAAAGAAGGTACCCCCTATTTTCGGAAACTCCCATATGGCAGCTTTGACCAGGCTGAAGGGCGCTGCGCAAAATGCACGCATCCAGCAACCTATCTGATCAGAACTAGGCAAAATAAGGTTGATCAGCATATGATAATCGGTGGCAGAATGGTTTCGACACTAGCCACTCTACCACCACGACGAGGATCATCATCACTACTGTCATCACACTTGCCTAAGTTATCGTCATAGTCTTAACCATGGCACTTGAATCGTACGCCAGGTGCCTTCTTGTAGACCCTATGTCGAGAACTTGTGGGACTCTTTGGAGTTTCGAGGTTTCGACATGTGTCTGTTTGTGTGTTTCTGCGGTTGCCTCTGTTCCGGAAAGTTGTGCCTCGGGGATGCTGCCCTTCTCTGCACTCGAAGCCCCGACAAGGCATAGCGACCTCAGGTTCGCAAGAACAGCCCGCCCGGAAGCCGGCTATTTGCTGTCCTGTCTGGCGGCTGAGGGAGGGAGTTCGTTTGAACTGGTTCAGTTGGGGCCTATGGATGATCGAACCCCTACGGACTGCCCCAGTCGCAAGCTTCGCCCTTCAGCTGCTTTCTACTCCCGAAAAGCTTGAGCTCTGCGTCGGCCAAGGATTACCGATGCCTGGGCTGTGGAGCGGTGGACGCATCTCATCAAGATCGAGCCAACCAAAGCTGTCCGAGATCCCAGTTTCGGGTGGGGCGGATTCAATAGACGGGTCTGAATCACTAGTGATTTGGTGATGATTGCAGCACGTCATCGTGAACAAGCTTGCAATAGTAGCCGATGTTGTCGTAATACAATGGTTGACGTAAGTACATGCACCTAGACGAGAAGCAAAATGGCTCATAATGAATGAACAGAAGTACCTATGTTAGGAATAGCAGTGCTTATGGAAACAGTAGCGACAGATAGCGAGAAGACGGCAGAAGGAGCAGTAGTAGTAGTTGTTGTGGTTGTTGCTGTTGCAGCTGTAGTAGCAGTAGTATGCAGTAGTAGTAATAGCAGCTGCTGCTACTACTGCGGCTGCTACGGCTACAGCTACAGCTACTGCCACTGCTACTCGTTGGTTTGTTATCCAGCAGCATCACCAGGGCGGTAGGACGGGAAACCTGCAACGAAGACTACAAGTAAGTAATCATCACCGCGCAAGAGGCCCTGAAAGGAATGACACGGCCTCAACGTTTGCCCTTTCTCAGGCGACTCTAGAGGAGGGCGCTGCTTGGCCTTTGAGCTCTGTAGGCTTGGGAGGTGGCGTTCAGAGACTAGGGTGGGCTTGAGGGCATAGGGCTTTGGGGGTGGAGGGTTGAGGGATCAGCGCTTGTTTGTTGGCCATTTTCTGGCTTATCATGAAATGTTGGACACGTGCTGCCAAAACTGCAAGAGCCTACTGGGTGCTCAGCTATCCTCGCAGTGATTGTGACTTGCCTGAAACAAGAACGAAAGGTTCCGTGGAAACCGACCAGCACTCCTGTGCGTCCTGCTGTCCCGGTACTGAATATACAACGTTCACACGTCACCGAAGGCTCTGATCCTCTCGCAGTGGGGCTACCCTACTGCGGACGTCACTGGCATGCGCCTTGCCCTGGAGACTTGGGTCGAAAAAGGCACAGTTGCTGCAGCCACGTCGGGCATGGGCCGCAGGGGAGTTCCCGTGGAGCTCAAGAGGCAGTGGAATACTGAGGGGCTTGAGGCTCTTGAGGGTGCAATTACTACTGTTTCGGTGCGGGAGCACAGCCACTGTTTGCAAGCTACCTGAGTCCTTATGCAGCTGCAAGCCTGCATATACAAAGGAGGCGAGGGTAGCCCTGCACTTCGAAAACATCCAAAGCACCTCACCCGGGGCCGTGCTTCTCACAAGAGCTGCAGCACCCACGTGCTTCTCCGACAATCCAGGCCGTGAGTTCTTGAGTGATCCCAAACCGGCTGATTGCACCAAGGAGAAGCTTGCGCATCGCGCCCAGGAGTTGGGTGCGCGGCGCAGCTCCACCGGACTTCCTTCCGAGGTCTGCTTCGGTAGAATTCATTGTAGCATCGGGCACAGGAGTTCAGAATTTAGGGATTCAGTGATCCTTTGGACGAGTTCAGGGTTTTGGGGTTTTGAAACATCTATCTGGGTCGGGTCTGGTCGACAAATCAGGACGTTCCGTTCCGTCCGACCCGAAACGTTTCCAACCAGCTTTCCATAATCCTGTCCTGTACCAAAATGCATTCGTGAATCCTCTAGAAGGCATCTTTGCCTGGGTTGAACCAATCTGGCCTTCATTTTCTTCGCACAGGTTGCTTTCGAAACTGGCAGTTAGCAGCAACTACCCCACTTGTGCAAGAGAGGCAAACCGCCTCGAGACGGCTTGGAGATTGTAGAAGTTGGAAGAAACCGATCACAGTTTAGAAAGTGGAGCAAACTACTGGAGGGTCGACAGCGGCCACAGGATTTGAGAAGGCAGCAAACTCCTCGATTGAAACGCTCGACATGGGCTGCAGTTTTGAGAACGAGCATCACAGCGCTTGAAAGGACCAGAGCAGTTGACAAAGAGGTTCAAGCCGCTCGAAAGGGACAGGGGAAGGAAAACCGTCCCGTCGAATGCGTTTTGAACATAGTGGAAACCATCCAAAAAGGAGGCAAGCACTTGAGAAAGAGCCGCGATCTGCTCGACAAGGAGTAGAGCGTTTGTGAAAGAGGAGCAGACCACCCGATAAGGCTTAGACAGCGCCTGAACTTAGCGTCAATCGTGAGAGAGACTTTCGACATTTCGAAGGTGGAGCAACCCGCTCGACAGGGACTAGAGACTAGAGTGTTGAAAGAACAGCAAGGCGCTCGCAATGCACAAAAACAGCAACCCGTTCGAACATGGCTTGAGCATTCGAGCAAGCGCAGTTGAAAAACTAGCAACAGCATTTGAGAAAACGACAGGGACTAGCAACCTGCTCGAAAGGCCCACCGTCTTTCAGCGGAAACAGGAAGCCGTTCCAAAACGAAGAGAGCGTTCTGCTGCTCGAAAAGATACTATATAGCACTCGACAACAAAGGGAATCGTGGATTTGAGAAGTGAAACGTTCAGAATGCATGCGAGTCTTTGCAAAGGAGCAACAAACCGCGCGAACGAGACTCAGATTAGAGCATTTGAGAACGAGGAGCACACCGTGCCAAAACGGCGAGCATGTGAGAAAGAACAGCAAGTAGACACAAAAAACTGCAGCGCGCTGGGGTGAAAAGATTGACTGTGTCTATGGCAGGAGCTCTAGTTTACTTTACGTTTCCCTGGCCTTGTTCAGTTTGTTTTTGTCTTTTCTGCAGCTTTTGTTCAGCCTTGTATTTACATTCCCAACAGCTTTGTTGTAGCTTTCATCTGCGTTGTATACTCCTTTTCAAAACCCATGACCCCATGTTCCCTAAAAGAACTAGCATTGCAACTACAAAGTTGAAAGAGAGAAGCAAACCGCGCGAAAATGAGCCCAGAGTACTTGAGCATTCGAGACAGGAGGATTTGAACAAGCTTTTCGAAAGAGCATCTTGGCAAGAGGAGCAGAGCAAGCCGCCCGACAGCAGACTGGAGCAATTTAGAAAAAGCAGCAAAACCCTTTGAAAAGATGACTAGAGCACTCGATGGACGGGAGGAAGGGGCTCGAGACGGACGATTACAAACAAGCTGGAGAACGCCCGAAAGACTTGAGTGTTTGAGAAGCACGAACAACCCGCTCGCAGGAAACTACGGCGTTCGAGACAGAACAGCGAGCCGTTCACGTGGAGCGTTTGAAAAAGAAGAGCAAACAGTTCGTAAGAGCGTAGAGTTTGGAGAAAGAGGAGAAGCAATCGAAATTCAAAAAGCATTCGGGTGTTCGGCAATCAACGGCAAACCGCTCGCAAGGGATCCAAGCATCTCAGACAGAGCAGCAAGCCCTCCAAAGACAAATCACGCTTCGAGAGAAAGGAACACGCCGCTCGAAGGAAACCAGTGCATGTGAGAAGGAGGAGCAAACGTTTCGAAACGGCGACGGCGACGAAAACATTGGAGAATGAGTGGGCAATCGTTCGAATGGACTTAGAGTGCTCGTGAGTAGCACACCGATCGTTGGGGAGCAGAGTCGAGTAGTACAGAAGGAGGAAGGAGATGGAACGAATCGGATCGAAGGGACTAACATCCTTTGAAAAAAGAGGAAGAGCGGAGCAAACCGCTCGAAAGGGACTGGAGGCGACCGGCAGGAGTCACGGTTCGAAAGCTACCAGAGCATCGAGAAAAGAGCAGCAAAAGGCTCGATGGGCGCTAGAGAAGGATTAGTGCAGTTGGGGTTAGCAACCCATTCTAGCTCGATTAGAACATGTTGACAGCGAGAAGCAAGCCGGTTGAAGGGGCTTCGAGCAAAGGGGAGCAGAGCGTTTGAGACAGAGGAGCGAACCGCCATTGGACAAATTGAAAACGACCTGCAAACGGTGCGGACTGGAATAAAGCCGTCGACAATGCCGACAAAGAGCAGCAAACCGTTCGAAAGGAATTAGGGGCTTTGCCAAAGCAACCAACTGCGCGAAGCAGATTCGGGGCATTGGAGCAAGAACAGCAACCCAAAAAGAAGGGACTGGAGTCAGAGTAGCCAAAAGGGACTAGTGAGTAGAGCACTTCAAGAAAACGTGCGAACCTCGCGAAAAGAACTCGAGCAGACTGAAAAAAAGTAGGGAACCGATCGAAAAGGACCAAAGCATTTCAGAAAGAAGAGACATCCATCCGAAAGGGATGACAGCATGTGAGAAGGAGGTGCAAATCACTTTCTAGAGCATGAGAGAAGGGGGCGGAGGCCTATACATTGGCATAGCAGGCATGCAAGAAAGTGTGTTTTAAATTTTGGAACCGAGCATCTACAGGGTCATGCAGGGACACCTTGCTGGAGACTTTGTGGATAGCTTCCCGGAGCCCCGAGTCCATTGGAACAGGACGAGGCCAGAGCGATCATCGCGGCGCTGAATACCGCTTCTCAGCCTCATTGTCGGGATGCTAGCACAGACAACACGAAGGAGACAGGGAGAGAAGACCTGACCCTTTCCGACCAGTAGCTTGCAAGCAAGCAAGATGACCTGCAACGAAGAAGACAAGGAAGAAAGAGATAGAGCAAAGACAGCATAGATAAGGTGACATCGCTGTCTCACTGGTTCCTCACGATGTCTTCTGTCGTTAATTTCAGCCGTTTCCCAGCCTACCCCACGAGCATGCGACAGCAGCATAACTCAGATGGTCCCGATCCTAAGCCCGGCGAAAAAGTCCAAGCATTCACGGAGGCATTGTTTGCGGAGTATGGCCTTCAGGGCAATGCGGAGAACTACTACGATCCAGAATCCTGGCAAGACATATGGCGTGAGTGTAGCGGAGTTAATCAGGGCAAGTCAAGCAAAGCTCTGAAGGTTCTTCTTCCGCTGCTGAGATGATGCAGGATATCTTGCCAAGCTTCGGCAGCAGTAGCCTTAAATACATGCGAAACAACGGATCCATCCGGTTGAAGCCAAGGAGAACTCCATGCTGCATGCGGTGCTGGCCAGGAAGAAGGGTATTCCCATTTCGTTGTCCGTAGTGCCGTGGCCAGGAATCAGACCTCTGGGACAGACGAGCTGTACCAACCACATGCGAAACGACTTGCGACACAGGGTTCTTTTGGGGCCTCCCCTCAGGGATTTGTAGGGTTCGATGTAAGGGGATCCTGAAGAGGAGCCATGGGGCTT